TACCTGCTTACTTGTTTTCCTTCTCAGTTAGCATGTAAGTTTCATTCATTCCGGTGAGCCTTTGCCTAGCTTGTTTCTCATGCTAAAGAGTACAAGGGCCTACAAACCACAGGCACTTGAAGGAATACATTAAATAAGTAAAGTTCTATGGGTAAAGAATATTTGGACCAGATATGTCTAAGGCAGAAAAAGAGGCCTTCTGGAACCTGAGCAAGGAAAACAGTAGGAGACAGATGTTACTAAGGGAAAAATGGACAAAATGAAGGTATTTAAATGGGAGGGGGGAGGGAGGGCTATACAAAGAACTTTGGGGATAAAGGGAAAGAAGGAGCCCAATACAGGAGACTGGTATTATCAAGGGAGAAATGGGGGAAAAGGTACCTTTTAAATGGGGAAGTCATGATGCAAGGGTTAGACAGGGAGAGATAAATAATGCCTAACTAGTGTAAGAAACCTGAGGAAATCATATTAGTCCAACAATTTAATGACAAATTACACATACAATATCTCTATATGTGTATAGCTAAAGGCTACATAACAAGAAACAGTACCAGACAGGAGAAACCTTCCTTTGAGTTGTTGACCAGGGTGGTCCAAGAGACTCCCAAAATTACACAGGCTATTGCCACAACCCTTGATTGCCTCCCAGATATTGAAGGTAAGACTCTACTGCTGAAGACAGGACATACTTTGGACACAGGATTTGGAGCAGTGGAGCTGGAACTGACCTGGAAGCCACTTCCCCTGAAGACTAGCTCTCATAGCTTTGGAAAGTGCTGTGAGGCTACTAAGGGAAAACATTAATCAATGGTCCAACACTAGCTCCAAGACCAAATAACCACATCGGTGACCTGCACAGCATATGACATTGGAGCAGTAGCACACTCTCATCTTGGGGGTAATCAACAGCTACTAATTGGACTAAACGCCCACTCAATGGGAGGAAACTCATGTGTGGTACTGTAAACACAGTCAAATACATATGACTGGAGAAGTCATAGATCTTAGAAAAAAACCCCAAAATTGTCACATCCCTAGACTAATGTAATTTCTTACTATGTGCAAAATATGTATCCTTATATTTACAGACAAATATCCCAGTCACCACTCATCAAAGAAGCTTCTTTTGTAACAGACAGAGACTATTACAGAGTACCACAATGGTCACACGCAGACATTGTCTGTGAATTGCTGACGTCTAAGTGGCACATCTACAATGCAACCTCTATACCTAAGGCTCACAGAACATAGAACAAGGGGTAAAGAAGACAATAATGAATATCTCAATTCTCATTAATGAAGCTCCCTCATGCAGCAGAGGGCCAGGAACACAAAAGGTCACAAATGGCCAAGTGTAGAGAGTAAGAGTTTGCAGAATGCTGGTCCTTGAACAGGACTCCTATATTAAACTTTACCCACCCAGGGCTCAGGGACCATTTCAGAAGAGGGGGTGGAAAGATTGTAAGAGCCAGGGAGGAGGTGCATGACCATATGGAAACAGAGTCCTATAAGCTCCTGGGACCCTGCTCACATGAACACCAATGCTGACAGCATGCATAGGACCAATGTAAGCCCAAGCAGACAAAAACCCAGCACAGAACCAGGCAAATGGACAGCTGACCCCAATCTTAGCTGAAGAAATATTGGCAACTGATTACTGCTGGGTGAGGAAGAGCTGATCTTCCTAAAGCGAGAGACTCTAGATAGGCTGACTGGACCTCAGTAGATGAACTTGCACTAAGGGATGTCTGGGAACACTAACTTCACACAATAGACCATAAGACAAACAACAGAATGTATGAATTCTGGGGGAGGGGGAGCCTATGGGAGGATACCAGTGGAAGGGAATATAAAGATGATTAAGATTGATTGAGATGTCCTGTATGAAATATACACAAATTCAATAAAAAAATAAAATAAAAAGTTAAAATAAGAGGCCTTCTGGAATTTGAATAAAAACCCTTGTTTTCAGCAGATAAAAGAATGGATTCTCCCCTCGTTCCAGCAGAGTCCTGGCAGAACTCAGATGCCATCAGTCAAAACACCAATCAGCCCCACTAGGTCTCTTGCCAGATGCTGAGGCTGATGTTGCATTGTTTTAATGCTTTCCTTTGAATGAAGATGTGTGCCATCTACAATGTGCGTGTGTTTTTTCAAGTCTCAACAAAAGATATAGATGCATGTCAATCACTTGTGGATAATTTCTGATACTTCTTCATTTTTGTCATTAACAATGAGATGGAGCATTTCTTTCTTAGGCCACTGTAAACTGAGTCTATGTTTCTTTCAACACCATGGGTTGTTTTATTTGGTTTTTTGAGTTCTGCCCTATTTTATATGCTCAAGATCAGCTAGAAATCTAGTACCTTTTACTCATGTAGGACAAATGGGTATCCTGTATTGTAGCAGGGAGATTTTGCCATCAGAGCTATGGCTCCTGCAAAACGGGCTAAATAATGTCACAGTGCATAAAACCAAGTTGGAACATGACTTTCTCAATCCCAAAGCTCTGAGATTTCTGCAACTCTCAGGCAGGACACACACACACACACACACACACACACACACATGCACACGCACATGCACAAACACTCATATATGTGTTGTATGTGTATATGTGTACATGTGTGTGTATATACACATACAACCATACTCATACACTTCTATTAAAGATGGCATAAGAAATTAATTATCTACAGAAAAGCAAGAAATTCCTAGTTCTAAAACTAATATTATTAAGAAAATTTTGCCAAGAAGAGTAGAAAATGAAAAAAAGTACAAATATAATATTCAAATATAAGGCGTATAGAGCTGTCAGTACAATGTTTGCTAATATATGATTACATGTGTGTTCTCGGGAACAAACACATCTGAAATAAACATTGTTTCCTGCTTTGCACATATCTTAGGTGTGCAGTAGACCCCCTTCATCCAAAGTTTCACTTCCCAAGATTCAGTCACCTGTAGCAAACTGTAGCCCAAAAACAATACATAGAAAATTCCAGAAATAAGTAATTTATAATAAATTGTACACTGTTCTGCAAAATGTGATGAAATTTTATACTGTTCTACTCCATCCTGCCCAAGACATGATCGTGCCTTTGTCCAGTGTATCTATGGTGTATATGCTACCCTCTTGCTAGTCATCTAGTAACTTTCTGGGTCATCAAACTGGTTATTGCAAATATCTCTGTGCTTTTGTTCAAGTAAAATCTCCACACCCCTGGTAGCCTCCATCTGTCTCACAATGCCTAATTTGCATTACTGCATCTAATCACCTGCACATGGTACTGTCTCATATCCTGAGAAGGATGACTACAGCACAGTAAGTTACATTAAAAGAGGCAGGAAACAGCATTCACAACTTTCACTGTAGTTCTTATAACTGTTTTATTTCATTAAAATTACTGTTAAATTCTTATTGTGCCCAATGTATGAGTTTTAAATGACAGTAGGTGTGTACTTAAAGAGGAAAGTGTGTGTCCTAGTCTATTTCTCCACTGCTGTGACAAAACACTCTGACCAATACCAACTTGGGGAGGAAAGGGTTTATTTTATCTATATCTCCCAGGTCACAGTTTATCAGGGAGCCCAAAGCAGGAACTCCAGGGCAGGACCCTGGAGCACAGGCCATTGAGGAATGCTGCTTACTGGCTTGTTCCCCTGACCCCTGCTCAGCCTGCTTTCTTATGCAACATAGGCCCACCTGCCCAGCGGTGGCACCACCCACAGTGGGGTGGGCCCTCCCACATCACACAACAATCAAGAAGATGCCCCACAGACATGGCCATAGGCCAGTCCAATAGAGGAAATTCCCCCATTGAGGCTCCCTCAACCCAGGTGTGTCAAGCTAACACTAAAGCTATCCAGCACAGTGTGGTATGTTCAGAGTTTGGTACTATTTGTGATTTCAGGCATCCACTTGGATCTTGGAACATATACTCAGCAGATAAAGGAATTTCTGTACCATGAGTGTTTGCCAAGTTTGCATCCTCAGTGCCCTCCTCTCCTACTCCTGTATCCTCTCTACTTTAACTCTCTCTGTAGCATCACTCCCAAATCCACGTCTGTTTCTTCCCTCTTCCAACTTCCAGCCCTCATCTCCACTCACAAAACATTTCCATTTCGACACCCCGAAGCTACCTCCAGCCCAGCATATCTCAGGAAGAACAGTGTACCTTTCCCACAGCCAGTTTCCTTTGCTGTTCTGTTTTTGTTTTTTTAAACCCTTTTCATATAAAAAAGACTTCGTCAACACTCTGTACCAGCAAAACTGATTTGAGAAGCATCTTACAGTCATTAGCTTCAACATACTCACCTTTCTCTGAATAATAACACTAGATCCATATGCTTAAACAAAAATAAAGCATAGCTCCTTCCCCTATTGCCCTTGGGCCACTGCCCGACCACACTCTGAAATAACTGCATTCTTTTTCACCATCAATTAGATGTATTACAGAAACAGCTCACAAGAAACAGGAACGTTTCTCTCAATAAAATAGTGTAACCAGACAACATCAATGTCCACGTGATAAAACAGACAGACAGACAAATATGGAGCAGAGATGGAAGGCAGGTTATCTAGGAGATCACAAAATATCTCAAAGCGAAAGCGTACGAGACTTAAAGCCGCACAGTAGCCAAAGATAGCCACTGTATTGTACATTCCAGTCATTTCTGTCATTCACAGGTTGTGAAGTTCCTAATCAGGCCATTTCTGCCATCTCAACCACCATACTTGTTTGTTAGCAAGTGACAGCGTCCAGATGTAAACACAGATGCTGTCCACATGAAGACGGAAAGGAACAAGAGGCCACAGCAACACCAGCTGCTGTCTGGACTGTCAGGCGTGAAGCACACTGACCAAGACCATGAAGCACGTGTGTTAGTTTAGCAATGGGGGTGAGGTGAAAGTTTGTGAGCACATGTGTGTGACAGAGCACAGCCCTCTGGAGAAACGGTGCGTCAATGAAGACATGAACCAAGTAAGCAAGCAGTACCTGTGGCGGTCTCATTAAATGGTCCTGGACCCTTAATGGGAAAACCATCAATCTTGATCCATTCACCTCCTAAATCAGGGAAATGCAACTGGATAGTTAGAAACAAGGTCTGTGGGATTTCCTGTAGTTCAGTACATCTACAGTGAATAGCAGTGAGCTTTCAACAGGCTTCTGAAGGATCTGTCCAGGTGCTGAGTGACTCTACATCTAAGCATTAGAGACATACATGTGTCCTTGCACATGGTTGGTCTAGCAACCTTGAAAGACTTCAGACAAAATGTTAACAAACTACATCGAAACCACTCTCAAAATGGGGAAAGTCTCTCCTAGTTTTTCAAAATCTTTAGTCTTGTATATGTCTAGAATATTCTTGTTCAGCAGGAATCACTTAATAATTCTAATTCTTAATTTTTTAAACTACAGGTATTTATTTGTTGAGGGGCATGAGCTCCATGGTGTGGGTATGGAGGTCAGAGGATTATTGCAGAAGTTGGTTCTCTCCTCCAACCACGTGGGGATTGAACCCAGCTCTTCAGGCTTGATGGAAAACACCTTTACTCGCTGAGCCATCTCACTGGACCAATAATTTTATGATTATATTGGCATGAAGAAGCAAGGAGGGAGTGCTCCTAATCTAAGTAACAAAGGACAGCCTCCCATTGCAGGTCAGACTTACCGGGTGGGCTCTCAGCTCTGTAAACCGGGCGGCTCACTCCACTGTGGTTTTCTGCGGTAACCAGCACAAAGTACACCACCCCTGGCTCTGAAACACATGGTTCACAACAAGCCACCATCTCAAATCTCCAGGAACCTACACGTCGATTCACTACTCATCTTTCTTATACCAGTAATGACTAAATATAAAAACCTGAATTAAATGGCAAGTCGAACGGTAGCTTTCTCTTGGTTTTTACTAAAATCACTAATGTTCTCTCGTGCAACTGAAACACGGCTAACCCAAAGAACACAAACTTTATTTTACAAAGTGCAGAGCAAGCGTAAAAAGCCTGGAATCCTAAGAAGTTGATAATAAAAGACTTTAAGGTTTGAAATGTGAATTCAGTGAAGGAATTAGGAACTCACAGTTCACTGAGTTCCTACATAATCAGTAGTTGAACATCTGTCAGAAACTACAATAATATTTCCACATTGAAGCTCCAAATGGAGATATCCTGGTGGGGGGAGAAATATCAATGAAACTCATAAAATATAGCACATGGAAGTATTTATTGCACTACATAAAGCTTTGTAGAATTTTCTTTTTCACAGCAAAATATTCCCCAGGCTATATCTCCATGTGGTTTTTGAATACTTCAACAACAACCAAAAAAGCTAGAAAAATATTTCCCAGATTCTTGAAAATGCTAATCTTGAAATAACTAGAGTTTACTTTTTTACTTTGGTCTCAGGGTCAAGGTCAAGTAGCAGAAGTCTCCTTGGCTGAGTTCCTGAAGTTGTCAGGAAAAAGGAAACCAAGAAGTCATGTCACAAAGAAAATGCTCCCAAACTCACAGCTTTCAAAAATAAAACATAACGGCATTAGTTTTCCTCAAAACAAACTATTCTCTGTGACAGGTAAGTGAAAGCACAAACTCCTTGAAGAGATGAAAGTCTGCTAGCGTGGTAAGAAACAAAGGGCTGGAGTGGGAGAGTTTGTTCTGTCAAAAATGCTCATGATAATGGCACTCCTTTAAATAGAACCTCATTCTGTTCTCAAGTCAAAAGCCAGGGATCCTTGGCTGAATAGCCGCCATCTGGGACACCTGCTGTACTCAGGCTGGTGTGACTTCTGTCTGTCTGTGGCAGGGCCTGGTGGTATTTGGGGTTTGGCACAACTTGCCCAGTTAATGGAGAAACGTTCCAGGTCTCAAGAGAACACGGAATCCTGCAATGCCAGGGTTCCTTCACTCTGGGCTCATCGGTATTTCCACAGCAATGGGATCCACATGCCTCTGCCTCCCATTCAGTTAACTCATCAGAAAGTTGCTTGGGAGACGTTATTTGTTTAGTGAATGGTACAGCTCTGTTTCATGTGTTTTCCCTCTCTGCAGCAATCATAACAACCCAATATTTGAGAAAACAAGGCCCTGCTCATGGCTTGGTCCGATCAAATCTCCATTTAACCTCACAGCTGGACTGGAGCTGGGTACAGTGATTCATAGAAATGTGTGTTTAGCTAAGCCAGGAGGAAGGGAGGCTGGCCTGTTCAATGTCCATTTTATGCACTTTCTTTCAGTTATCCAGAGAGTGCAATTGTACCATGCAGGAGGTTAAAAAAAAAAAAAAAGACATAAGATCAGTGAATAGCAAGCTCATCGATGCTGAGGGGTGGACTGGGATTTATGCCTGGATCAGACTTTAACATGGCATGAAGGACTTCTGGTTTTCTCTAGCTGAGTCTGTAGCTTCCTCATTGTGCTGGATAGCTTTAGTGTCAACCTGGCACACCTGGGTTGAGAAAGCCTCAGTTGGGGAACTGCCTCCATTGGACTGACCTGTGGCCATGTCTGTAGGGCATTTTCTTCATTATTGAGTGATGTGGGAGGGCCCAGCCCACTGTGGGTGGTGCCACCCCTGGGCAGGTGGGCCTATGTTATATAAGAAAGCAGGTTGAGCAGGGGCCAGAGGAGCAAGCTTGTAAGCAGCATCCCTCCATAGCCTGTGCTTCAGCTCCTGCCTCCAGGTGAACCTACCTTAGACTCCCTGATGAACTGTGACCCAGGGAGATGTAAGATAAAACAAGCCCTTTCCTCTCCAAGTTGGTTTTGGTCAGAGTGTTTTGTTACAGCAATGGAGAAACAAAGTGGAAAACTCATGACCGATGAACTGTGACCCAGGGAGATGTAAGATAAAACAAGCCCTTTCCTCTCCACGTTGGTTTTGGTCAGAGTGTTTTGTCACAGCAATGGAGAAACAAAGTGGAACACTCATGACTGACAAAGATCTGCCTGCCTCTGCTTCCCGAGTGCAGGGACTAAAAGTTTGAGCCACCATGCCTAGCTTTAAACATGGTGTTTCTAAATGCATGGTCAATAACTTTTTTTTGCTGGAGTATTTAATTGCTTATTGATGTTTTCTGCACCTCTGGTAACAAATTTTAAGTTACAGTAGTTGCATCTCATAAAAATAAAAATATTTTATTTTTTAATTTTATGTGTATGAGTGTATTGTCTGCATGTATATAATTATACTAATGTTGTGTAATGCCTGAGGAGGTCAGAAGAAAGTATTGGATCCCTGGAACTGGAATTTTAGATGGTTGTTAGCCTCCATGTGAGTGCTGGGAATCAAACCCAGGTCCTCTGTAAGAGCAGTCAGTGCTCTTAACCGCTGAGCCATCTTTCCAGGCCCCAATTTAAAGAGTGTATTGTCTGCATGTATATAATTATACTAATGTTGTGTAATGCCTGAGGAGGTCAGAAGAAAGTATTGGATCCCTGGAACTGGAATTTTAGATGGTTGTTAGCCTCCATGTGAGTGCTGGGAATCAAACCCAGGTCCTCTGTAAGAGCAGTCAGTGCTCTTAACTGCTGAGCCATCTTTCCAGGCCCCAATTTAAAAAAAAAATTTACACTATTCTATTTATTATTTTTATGTGTATGAGTGTATTGCCTACATGTATGCAAGTGCACCTGTGTTGTGCAATGCCTGTGTAGGTCAGAAAAAGGCATCGGATCCCCTGGAACTGGAGTTAGCTGACATCTGGGTGCTGGGACTTGAACCTGAGTCCTCTGAAAGAGCAGCCAGTGCTTTTAACTGCTGAGCCATCTCTCTAGCCCCCAAAATCACTTTTTCTGAGATGCAGTTACTGGGTAAATGAACTGCTCACACAGAAGTAATGAGTGTCACACAGTGGGGTTTCACAGTACAACGCAAGCCACAGAAGGAGCTGAGGTTTCACAGAGCTGCAGTTACTCAGTTCACTTTCTTTGGGTGTGCGACATTGCTGAAGTTTCACCTTTGTTTAAATTCCTCTAGAAGACAAAGGGTGCTGTTCTAGTTTCATTTCTGTTGCTTTGATAAAACACTCTCACCAAAAGCAACTTAGAGGAAAGGATTTATTTGGCTTACACTATCAGATCACAGTCCATCATTGAGGGAGCTAAGGGCAGGAACTCAAGCAGGAGCTTGAAGCAGACATGGAGGATGCTGCTTGCTGGCTCACACTCTAGCTGGACTTCTGGTTTGCTCATGCATGCCTGGTGTTCTTATACAGCCCAGGACCACCTGCACAGTGACAGTGCTGCCCACAGTTGGCTGGGCCTTCCTACATCAATTAACAATCAATACAATCCCTCACAGACAAGCCTAAAAGCCAATCTGATCTAGGAAATTCCTCAATTGAGGTCCCTCCTCTCAGATGACTCTAGGCTACATCAAGCTGGCAATTAAGGCTAACCAGGACAGTGCATTGTACAGATTCTAAGTGTTTCCATGAATAGGTTCTGATAGGTTTTAACTTTTTAAACATATCTGTGTATTACACTGTGGTAACAAATGATAAAATATATATGCATATATTTTAAAAATTTACGACATGCCCAATTTGTCCTTATTTTTCGTATCTCTAAGTACAGTCCTTCAACAGGTTTTTTCAAATTGTCACAAATATCCAAAAAAGAAAATCCACATTTAAGAGGACCCACCCACACAGTTCAAACCAAAGTTGTTCAGGGGTCAATTGTACTTAATTATTAAAAGATTTATAGGTGGGAAATTTCCAGAATTGTCTACTAAATTGTCTAATAGTCTATAATTTTTCTATAGGTCAAAACAATGATCAATATACTTTCCAAAGCACATTTAGAAACTAAAAATTCTGTTTAATTTTAGGGAGAGAAATACTTTAAGTGTCTTGACAAGAAACCTGGAACAATACGAACCAAGGGGCCTCATGGTGAGGCCTCCAGTCAGAGCCTCAAGACTAGAGTCTCAGAACTTGGCTGCTGATTTCCAAAGAACCCAGATACCTCTAGCCCAGCCATACTCTGTCTCACAAGCACTCATCCTAAGAACATAGCTGCAAATGTTGGCACATAGTTAACTCTGAGTGGGAACAAGAGCATAGGTCACTTACCCACATCCTCAATAAGGAAGGAGTTTGTCTCCGCATTCACCTTGATGTACTTAAGACTTTTCAGTGACTTCCCATAGGCAATGTTGTAATGCTCCACAGGTCTACGGGTAGCATCTTTGGGTGGGTCCCACGTGACCTTCAGGCCCGTTTTAGTGGACAGCAGTTTCACATGCCTTGGCTTCAGTGGGTGGTCAACTATGCAAACATCGCAACTATCAACTTGACAGCGGTGGCAGGTTGGGAGAGTAATTTTCTGAATGTTCACTGATATTGTTAGCAAAAAAGTAAATGACATTCAATCTGTCTGATCCTAAAGACTAAGTGAAGTCGTGTTTGCACATCCTTACGGCGTGACAGGGGAAACAAACATACCAGTCCCACAAGCTTTTCTGTATTTTGGATAACTGTGGGTGGTAAATTTAAACCAAATGGGAAGCAAATTAAAATCAACTCTCAACATTCCCTGCCTTGATTATACAGACATGCCAAGGCAAGAAAAACAAATGGGTAATTGCACATATTCCCCAAGGGCTTTTGAACACTAAATAAGTTCTTAGTGATTTGGGATGTTAAATTGGACAAGCTTTAAAAGTCCTCTGAGAAGAACAGCCTTATCCTTATGATTACGAAGAATGTCCACTACGTCCAAAGTGAGGCAACAGAAGTGTTCATCTCCACAGAGAAAACAAACCAAGGTCATCACCAGCCTAAAGGAGGGACAAAGCTCTGCTTTTATGTGTATATACCTAATTTTTTAATTTTTAAAATTAAAAAAATGGTTCCAGAAGAAAAAAAAAAAGTTCTTTGAGAAGTACTATGGCAGCTAGGTGTGGGGTGCATGCCTTTAAACCCAGCACCTGGGAGACAGGTGGACAGATCTCTGTGAGATCAAAACCTGTCTAGTCTACATAGTGAATTCCAGACCAGCTGGGCTACAGAAGTATCTTCAGTTATGAAGTCCTAAAAACTTTCTTGATTTTTCGAAATCACAGAACCAATACATAACATTTTGTCTAACAAAATCTCTCAGCTCACTGCATGACTGATGCTCAGTGCACGATCATGTCAACAAGTGCTAAATATTCATGTAACAGTTGCAACAGTCAAAATGTCAGCTAGTTTGGATGATAAAATGACTATTCGGTGACACAAGGCACTTTCAGAAAATAAAATTAACCTAAGGGAAAAAGAAAAAACCTTAAATACATTAAGAGAAGGGCATTTGGAAGTTCATAGAGGAAGGGGAGGAGACTTTTCACGAGGACACATACATGGGTTAGCATGTGATTTTTAATACTGAATGAAACTACTGAATGGAATGAACACAAATGATTCTAACACACACCTCATTTTCCCTCCCAATCTTGCCCCACTGCAACAAAAAAGGACTGTCGGGGGAATTCACAGCATGAATAGTGAGGATAAATCTGATTGTGAAGAGTTAGAGAAGGTTGCTCATTCTGGAGACAAAACAAGGCATTAGATGATGTGCATTGGCTAAAATCCACAAAGCATCCCTCCCAACTCCATCCTGCAGTTCTGTGAGGGGGAATCACGGGGAAGCCACCTGTGAGCTTCAGGGACCTCACACCGATCATTTCCTGGATGCTGGAAATGAACCATAGCTGCTTTTCATTATGATTTTTCTCTTTCACTATTCTCTGCCTACAAGAAATTTCAGCAGGAATCATTCCTGGGAATCGGTATCTCACACTAACCAAAAGCTGTGTAGAAGCGAACCAAGATATTCCAACCCTCAAAAGGGAAGCTCCTGTGTGTGTGTGGGTGTCTTCCTGGGAAGAAAATCAGTGAAAAAATAATGCAAATAACACTGTTCTTTGCAGTTAGTTTCCAGAGTCCATTCTTGACAGACATCCTGAAATGTGAGACCCCAAGACCTGAATAATGTTGGTTAGTGGGACTCAATCAATATAGTCACCTAAGCCAGAAAATGATAGAAAAAAAAACCATCTATAAACATATTCACTTTAGTTCCCTGCTACGTCCTCATGTTAATCAATTTTCTGTCACTATTACAAAATATTTGAGATAATCATTTTATAAAGAGGAAAGCTTTCTTTTGTCTCACAGTTTTAGGAGTTTCTGTCTATGATCAATTGGCCCACTGTTCTTGGATCTGTGGTGAGGCCCCTCCGTGTGGGAGCCTGTGGTAGACAAAGCTCACTTCATGGTGGTCAGGAAGCAAGAGAGGGAGGAAAAGAAAGGAGTCCCACTGTCCCCTCCTAGGGCAGACCCTTAGTGACCTAAGCCCTCCCATTAGGCCCCATCTCTTACGGGGTTTGTTTTTTTTTTAACACAGGGTCTCCCTGTAACTCCAGTTGGCCTAGAACTCACTAAGTAGACTAGTCTGGCCTTGATCTCACAAAGATCTGCCTGCCTCTTCCTCCAAGTGCTAGGATTAAATAAGTGTGCCATCACACCCAGACCCAGGTCCCATCTCTTACAGGCTCCACAACATGGGGGTGGAAAGACTGTAACAGCCAGTGGAGGAGATGCATAACCATATGGAAACAGAGTCTTATAGCCTCCTGGGACCTCACTCAGATGAATTTATAGCAATGGTGTCACAAGACCCATGCAAACTGAAGCAGACAAAAACCCAGCATAGAGCTAGGGAAATGGGCAACAGACCCCTGTCTTAGCCAGAGAACTATTGGCAGCTGATTACTGCTGGGTGAAGGAGAGCTGAGCTTCTTTAAGGGAGAAACTCTAGATAGGCTGACTATACCCCAGTGGATGACCTGGGACTGAAGGATGTCTGGGTGTACCAACTTGACTCAATAGGCCTTAATATAAATGACAGAATGCATTAAATCTGGTGGGGGGCTATGGGGGGGTACAGATGGGGAGGGGGTATAAAGATCATTAAGATGTTTTATATGAAATACACAAAAATTCAATTAAAATAATTATAAAAATAAAAAGGCTCCCAATATCTCCATGGACTGGGAAGTAAGCTTTTAATATAGGTCCGGTGGGAACTTAATCCAAATCATAGCCTCCTTGTATTTATCCTTGGGCCTATGAAGAGTAATTTAAGACTCATACAAGAGTCCACATTCAAACGGACACACCAAAGCTTGGCTTGGTGGCATACATCTGTAATCCCAGCACTAGGGAGGTGGAAGCCAGGGGATCAGGAGTTCAAGGCCAGATTCAGCTTCATAACAAGGTCAGGGCCAGTCTGAGCTACATCAGACTGTCTCAATAAACAGATGTGTGCATCAGCCCAGCATAGGGACAGTCATTCAAACCCACCAAGAACTCTGACAGGATAAACAAAGAACAAGGCAAAAAGGAGATAGCTCTGGTTGTCACAATCTAATGGATGTGACTCCCTTTGCTTCCCTACTCAGAGTTTCTGTCTATGTCCACACATCACTCAGTTTGTTCTCCTCTAGTGATAATAAGCACCATAACACTGTATCACATTCAGTAGCTACCTGTGCTGGATAGCTTTAGTGTCAGCTTGACACACCCGGGTTGAAGCAGCCTCAATTGGAGAACTGCCTCTATTGGACTGGCCTGTGGCCATGTCTGAAGGGCATCTTCTTGATGAGTGATGTGGGAGGGCCCAGCCCACTGTGGGTGGTGCCACCCCTGGGCTGGTGGGCCTGTGTTGCTTAAGAAAGCAGGCTAAGCAGGGGCTAGGGAACAGATGGTGAGGTGCTCCCGCCTGGAGCAGCGGCCAGCACTAGTCGGGTATGACTCCAACAATTTCACACAGTAGCAAAGTCGTTCTCATAGCTCGTGCCAGTAGACTTTTGTCTAGATTTAAGAACATTTTGCCAGGCACTGAATGGCAGAATGCTATTTCTGTGATCATTTAGGTACCCAGCCATGGCCAGGCTGTACAACTTTCTATCACAGCTGCCATGAGATGTCTACTAGTTTGTTTGAGAATGGAAAATGAGGACAGTCAGCACTCGGACTGAATCCTTACTTTGGTCTAACCTCAGGTGCCAAGGCTCATCCAGAAAGACTGTAAGAGACAAGTCTGCTTCAAAAGTCAAAATCTAGTCAGAATCTAGTTTAGTTCGACTCTAGAACTGTCAGTAATCCAGATAGATTCTAGATTGCAATACCCTGCAGTGACTATCCTTGAAGCATCTTCTGCACACAAGCCGCAGAAAGTCTCCAAGCCTAATAACAGAACCTCCAAGAGTCACCCAGCTGCACCAGGCATGGAGCATAACTTTGCCCAACTCCAAAGCCCAGCTCACAAGCCCTCAAAATCTGTCAGTCCCCGATCATAAGTGACCAATGGCCCTGTCCACTGAAACCTAATTTAGGAAGCCATTACTATCCTAAAATGAAGGATGTTTTTACCATTTCCTCTGCCCTCTCTCACTGTTTCCCATCTTCTCGAAAGGACAGTCATGCCATCTGTGCTGGTGTCTTCCTCTCTCTGGGAGAAAAGCAATAACTGAGCCATGATGTGCTCTCCAGGGAACATCTGCATTCTTGTGACAAGAACTTAACCAAGGATATGGCTTTCTAGGAATTACTTTCTAAGCCTTAGGGTGCCTCTCTAAGTAGGGGTCATTTTGAGCATCTTTAGAGGCCTTTAGGACACTCTGAAGTCATGTTTAAGAACAGCCCTGGGAGATTAGTCTGGAATTAATGTTTTTCAAAAGTCATTAAGCTGGCATACCACCTCCTCTTCCTCCCAATACATACTAGGCCAGTGAATCGGCCAGTGACATGACTAGAGACTTCCTAGATTCTCATCAACCTCGATATTTAAAACTGACATTGTTTCCAGCACTTCCTAATAAACGTCAGCCATGGATAACTAAGAGAACTGGCTAAAAATATCAGAACAGTGGGCAAAGGAGAGCTTGAAGGCCATGCCAGGCTCCATCCCAATCAATGCCTGAGCACCAACCCAGTATGGAGCGAGGTCAGTCCTTCCAGTAGGCACACCAGTGTGTCCACACTCACACCTCTTGACAGAAAGCTTATACTAGAAACGTGACAATGTATCCTCTTCCTGATCATTGTTTTGAAGGTCTGGTGTCTCTAATCTATAAGTATGAAATAAAGTCAAAGGGTGAAGGTGGGGCCTGTGGACTGCATTCCAGGTTCTGGATAGAAGATGAACATTCCGGCCGTATAAAGCTTTCTCTAGTTACCTTTCTGTTGCTGTGATAAAACATTCTCAACAAAAACAA